TTGAGTAAAAGATGAAATATCGGTCCACGAAATATACTCAATTACATCATGTAACATCGAGAGTTTAATTATTTGAAAAAGTTAAAGATAAATTATCAATGATTAAGCGGTATAAGAACATGTACGAGAAAAACCAATTTTCTTGTTTGTCACTGCTTCAAGTCCGATTTCTATCTCGCTTATGCTAATAACATCTAAGATCTCTCCCACAATATACTCAATAAAGTGAACTTCATTTTGTTTCAGTGTACATAAATTTTAGAAAAAGTTGATTATAATCCCAATTTTAATTTTGTAAGAATTGATAATACTTTTCTATTATAATAATTTGTATATAAATTTAATGAAAGAAGAAAAATATTCAATTTTATATTATTAATATATTATTATGATGAATTAAATTATTTAACAATTTTATTATGATGAATTAAAAAGCTTATAAATTAAAAAATGGTATAAAAATAATTAATGCAATTATAATTAATATTAAAGATTAATCTAAAATTTAAAAATTAATGTTAATTTAATTTCGTTTGACTAAAATATTTAAATGTTTTCAAGTTTAAATTTCATTTGAAAGGAAGTTTTTTAAATTAAAATACTAGGATAAAAGCTTCAACTTCATCACTAATTTGTTGAGATTTTATTGGGAACCATTTTATTACAATGAGAAACTCTTAGCTCATGCATTATTAGCAATCTTTAAAAACTCCTTTCAAATATTTTCAACATTAAAAAAAGTAATTATTTTAATAATTACAAAAATCATTAAATTATTATAAATTTATGTCACTTTTTTACAAAATCCAAAGAAATATTTAATTTATTAAAATCCTATACTTATTTTATTTTTCATAAACCCAAAGTTAAAATTATAGTTTGTATTATAAATTATTATTTTTTATTTTTAAAATTTTTTCCTCCATTTTTAAAACGTTGCAAAAAAAGTAATAGAAAAAGCTAGAAAAAATTCAGTTCCTTACCTGTTTTCATATTCTGGAAATCACTGTAAATTCGATTCAAAGCCAAATTCTAAATGTGCCCAGTAAACAGGCCTAATTTTTAAAATAATGTGTTTAGTGGTCTATTTGGAACACTTTTTAATTTGGTTTATTTTGAAAAAAGAAAAATCATTTTTGAAGCAAATTAGAGTGTAAATTGGGAAGAACTATAGGGGACAAGAGAGATAAATAGCATACAAAAAGTAAACATAAAGGGTAGAAAGAAGGAGTGTTAAAAAAATGAAAAGCTTGAAATGCAGAGGAAGTTGGGAGGAATGAATGCATTAAAAGATTAACAGAAGAAAGTGGCGATAATGGAGACTACTTTCCACTATTTGGGTGGGACTTGGTGCAAAGAACTTTCCGTCCCTTGGCACGTCGTCGTCTTAAAATAGCTCTTCCACCTGGTGTGCTCATTCGTTTGCGGAAACCATGAGTGCGTGCCAATGATTTTCTTGATCTGTTTCTCTTTGTCTGACAAAGAGCAGCCTTGCCTGCCCTCACAACCAACCCACCACCTTTTCCTCTTCTCGCCCCAACATTAGATGTCAACTCCAATCCAAGTGATAACCCTTAACATTCACAATTTACTTCACATCAACAACAACTCCTATGCTCATATGCAAATTAAACAAATCTGTCAAACAGTTCAAACCCTGTCAACTATTACTAACAATTCTAACAACTCTAGTTTTCCGCCCTCTCTCTATCTTTATTTTTTGCTAAGTTAATTACTGTGAAGTTTCAATGCCAAAATATGTTGAATTGTAACCATAGATTGAGTTATTGCTCTAGTTCTTAAATGCTATCAACCATGTTAATGAAAGGATGCCATTGACATATTCTTAACGGATGCAAGCTCGGAAAAAGAAGAAAAAAATAAACTACCCAAAGATACTAAGAATTTAAATTGTACTCTGTCTTTCTAAATTTTGTGAGTCAATTTCTAAAGGACATTTGTCTCTTATTCTAACAGAAAATATTCACAAGTTTAACAATGACAGATAAGATCTATATGTAATCTTTGAACCATACTGGGCTCATTGGAGTCTCTTCTCCATCACAACCTACCAAAATCCTTTGAGCAAGGAGGATTAATAAACTCAACCTCCATATCAGTAAACAAACCAATTAAACCATAAAAGTTCTGGAATCATTTGTTCTTATGTTATTATTGGTGGTCAAGTCTGATTTAGAGTTTCCCAGCGTAAAAACGAGTAAATTTAGCAATATATAAGTGAAAAACATTCACAAATGCGTCTTTAGAATTTTCAATTATGGATGGTATCATGGTGTCCAGTTTGTTACCACACTCAAGGTACTACTATAACCAGATCACAAATCCTTAGAGTGAGAAGAAGAAAGAATTTCATTACAACAACTAAAAACATTGCCACACTCATTCAGCATCTTAAAAATTGCCATTCAGGGATACTGGTATGTATAGTCAAGTTCATAGGATTTGTTCAGGCTGGATAACATATTCAGACTTCAAAGCTACTAATTGCATTTAATCCGAAAACCCAAAGGTTAAAAATGCAAGCATTTTAAACTGGTATTATTGTTCTAAACAGTGATAAAAGGCTTGTTATGGTACTCATGTACTACATAAATATATTTGCTTGGCTTCACTTACAACCCATTTCATCGGCAAGTGGTGGCATCAACTCCTACAAGCTTAAATTGACACAAAGAAATCCCTTTGAAAACCCAGAAGAGTAACTTCCGTTCCAAATTGTGTCCATATTCAAGTTAAATTAAACCCAACCACAAAAGCATTTTCTTTCCAAAAACCCTTTAGCAACATAAATCCCTACATCCCTATTAAAACAAAGAGAAATCACTTCCAATTCAAAACTTCCAATTTTCCAACTAGAACGGCTATTAAAAAAATGTTTAAGCATGGCATACCATACATTGACAAGGAAGAATTCAGTACTTCCTAAATAAAACTAACAAAAACAATGATAACCAAGGGACAAGGAAATTCACCAAGAGTAACCGATTTCAAAAAGACCCAGTGTAATTAGCGAAGAATGAGATGGAAGAGAGATGGGAAATAAAGGTGAGGAGTGAGTACCTGTAAAGGAGGAAGAGAGATGGGAAGGAGAGGAGAGGAAGGAAGAATGGAGGAGAGGAGAGCGAACGTTGAAGAAACTGCTGCGGCCAACGTTGAGAGAGATTAAAGATGGTTTTGGGGCAGTGAGAATGAGAGAAGCTGAGGGAGTGGGCGTGGCTATGCAAAGCGATAAGGAAGCCATTATACACCTTTTTGGTTTCTTCACCCTCTGAATCCAAGTTTAACGGAACAATTGGGAGAATATGAATATTTTATTACATAAAGCTAAATTATATATGAAAAATCAATTGGGGATGTAGCTCAAATGGTAGAGCGCTCGCTTTGCATGCGAGAGGTACAGGGTTCGATCCCCTGCATCTCCACTGTTCAAATTTTTTTTTTTCCAATTTTTGCTTAATTATAATTACTATTGTTTCTACATTTGCCAATTCTGTGGCATTATCGCCGAATCAAACATTTGGTTTGGTTTCCTGCCTGTATTTTGAATCTAGGTGCTACTTTTATTTGCTTGCTTCTTCCACTATGAAAATTTCAATACTCTATAGCTGCTAAATTTGGTTATTTTACTGTAGAAAATCTAAATATGAATTTGGTTGGTAAGTCCAAGTTTATAAACAACTTATAATTGGAACTACTTTTTTCTCTTTGAATAGGTCTTTCCCTCTGCTAATGCAGCCGTATTAGAGTGCTTAAAACATTTGAGCAGTAGAGGATTAGATATTATTGTTGATGCAAAACATTAAGCCGTTGCTCAAAAGTCTAACTTTTTATACTTAAACATGGAAATGTGTATTCTTATTTTGGTGCAAATTACTTTGTGACCATCCTACATTCTCAGATTCGCAGGTAGTTGCTGACTCCCTAAGAGATCCTAAAGTGGGTGTAATTTATTTCTGGAACTCACTGATAAGATCTCTACCGGACTTAACACATTCGTACATGAAGTCGCAAGTTAACACCTTATTTCATACCTGACGATAATAATCAACAAAGAGCCGCTGAAATTGTCATCGTTTTTTCTGTCAATCCTATTATATGCATTTACTGTTCGTACTATATCAGAAACATGCACACAAGTTCCAGCAGAAGAAGCTGTTTTTATATTGAGAATATTACTTCAACATTTTTACAGACACAGAATGTGCAACGAATATAACAGACTACAGAGTAACAGAAAAAACTGTTTTTGACTTCATAGTTTTTTTTTTTTAATGGAAAGCTGATTATGTATTTGAATTTAATGTTTGGTTTTGTATTATTGAACCTGAAAAATGTTATGTTTTTTTTTAGTATTTTAATTTTTTTAATATCGTTTCTGTGGTAGATTTATTAGATTAATAAAATGAAAGAAACAAAATAACGTAATTTTATAGAAAAAACTGTTTCTTTCTAGAAAAAGGTTGGCCTGATGATAAACTTGTTAAATAAGTTGATTTATTTTAACAGGACAAAATTCATTCTGAACCATTTAAAATGTGGACTTTAAGGGCAGGACTTTAATCTTGCCTTTGAATAAGAGATTTCACTGTTTTTAAAACATTCAAATAGAACGATTTTGAATTCTTCCAGTTCAAATTATAAATTTTTCAAATGTTTTGTTTTAAAAAAGTAATTAAATTAAATTTTATCATTCTTATAAAGTATTTCAATTGTTAATGTGTACAAAATATATAAATATAAACACTTACTTAAAATATCAATATTAATTTTTTAAAATTT